TACGAGGAAAGTATACGTGGAGCTTACGAGGAAATGTTTTCCACGGCTTTACGAGGAAAACTTTCCTCGTAAATTAGCTAGGCCTTTACGAGGAAAATAGCCTTTACGATGAACGTCTTTCGACGAAACACGTTTCCTCGCTATTTCCTAGTAAAGGGCCATTTACTAGGAAATAACGAGGAAAACCCGTCCTAGTAAACGACGTGTTTTCTTGTAGTGCGGATACTATAATTTATATCTACTAACCTCAAACCTTTTCACTGAAATTTTTAAATTAACATATTTATAATATGAATATCTACTAATGATACTTCATATTCATACGATTTATGATAATTTGTATCTTGTTTGGAAAAAAAAACATAGTTAAACCATTGATCATAAAATTTTCAATGTGAGATTTTACTATTTTTAGTTATTTATGGTCGTTTTAAAAAATTAAAAAATAACTTATAAGAAAATTTTTAATTTTTTTATTATATATTTAATGTGATTGTTTAATTAATTTAAATAATTTAAAATTAACATAAAAGAGAGAGGACACAAAATATGTATTGTTCATAATCATTAATTATATATATATGTTAATCATATTAGGTAATTCCATAGTTTTTATTTAAGGAAAGAAAATATATTGTTTTATACCTAGCAGAGTTGGTCCCTTAAAATATGTCTATATATTATAGTCCTAAATGCAAGAAATTAAATGTTACATTATTTCATTCCTAGCAAAGTTGGTCCATTAAAAAATTAAGACTAAGAAGCTCTGTGAGCTTGACACGTAAGCATGCTCTCCAAGGTTGTGTATTTATGAATGCTTCAGGATTAATATATAGGGGATGTATTACTAACTGTTTGCTATTACATCTTGTTAGTGAACAAGCTTAACAATGGTATTAAGATCTGAATCAAGAGCTTGAAGATGAAGATTTGAGCTCAAACTTTAGAGGGAAAAGAAGAAGATGAATTTGAAAGTTTGTTATTCCTCATAAAACAACAATGTACATTACGGTTCTCTTTCTCTTTATATAGTCAGACGGTATAAGCGAAAGGAAACTTAACCATCCTAACCAATATTAAACCAAATCTATATCTTAATAAATGGAGATTGAGATGATTTGGAAGAAGAGAAAATATCCAACAGTTATATTCTATCTAAAACTCTCAATGTCATATGTTTCTACAAAGACCATCTTTTATATATACAAGATAGTAATGGTTTGCGCTTAATCATCGACCTTGGGAGGAAGCAGGAGAAGTACTGGCTTCCGACCTGCCAAAAATAAATAAAATATCAGCTTTCATGTTGATACACTCTCTAATACATCTGTTGATACAACATTATTTTTTGTCAAAAAAAATCACTATTATTGACCAGCGATACTATGTAATTATTGAATTTGTTATCTAATATGTTCATGCATAGATTTAACAATAGAATGAAATTACGTTAGTTTTTGTGAATTTCTCTAAAGAGTATACGTAGCACTAACCATGTCCACATAAACATCTGGTTTCGGATACATCATGATAAAGTGACATAAAAATTGAATTAAAAATTCATTAATAACACGATTGTGATGGTTAGTGATGAATGTATAGATAGGAAAACGCTGAAAAGGTTTTTTTATAAACAAATCTTTAGTAAAATTATTTTTTGATCTAGAGTCCTAGACTACTATTTGACAACAAACAGAACAGTTATAAAGGTGATTGTTTGATCAAATGAGAAAGCAATGAAACATTTGTAGAGCATGTTTTGTGTGCTTAGACGAAAAAAATTGATCGAAGTTTCATTCTCCTAAGCTTGAATCGCTTTTTATAGTTTTGATCAACCTCAACTACTTTGCGTATAGAACCACGACGGGCTTGACTTCTATGTAACTTGGTCTCGACTGTTCTCTACATTACCTCTAAATTCATAATTCATTGAACCAAGATGTATATTTTGTATCGGTTCTTAAAGTATTACATGAAGTAGTATATGTCTGTTATAAAGATGAGTTTGGTTCGAGTTCTTACTTTGTGATGTTAGTGGGCTTGTCAAGCTTGAAAAAAAAGTAATATACTTATTGGGATATTTATAATTAAGATCCCTTATATATTAATCCTGAAGCATTCATAAATGCACAACCTTGGAGAGCATGCTTACGTGTCAAGCTCACAGAGCTTCTCAGCTTTAATTTTTTAATGGACCAACTTTACTAGGAATGAAATAATGTAACATTTAATTTCTTGCATTTAGGACTATAATATATAGACATTTTTTAAGGGACCAACTCTGCTAGGTATAAAACAATATATTTTATTTCCTTAAATAAAAGCTATGAAATTACCTAATATGATTAATATATATATATATATATATATGTGTAATTAATGATTATGAATAATACATATTTTTGTATCCTCTTTCTTTTTTGTTTAATTTTAAATTATTAAAATAAATTAAACAATCACATTTAAATATATAAGAAAAAATTTAAATTTTTTCTTATAGGTTATATATTTAATTTTTTAAAACGACCATAAATAACTAAAAATAGTAAAATCCCACATTGAAAATTTTATGATCAATGGTTTAACTTTTTTTTTTCCAAAGAAGATACAAATTATCATAAATCGTACGAACATGAAGTATCATTAGTAGATATTCATACTATAAATATGTTAATTTAAAAATTTCAGTGAAAATGTTTGAGGTTAATGGATACAAATTAGAGTATTCGAAAGATTTTTGTAGTTTGTTTTATTTGCTTCTTTTTTTTTAATATCTTTTAGTTTGTTTAGATAATTTAAGTAATTTTAAATTAGATTTATTAATAGTTTAAATATTTTTATTTTTTTTGTCAACTTTTATAATGTTTAACAAATATCTTTTGGGATGATTTCAGATATTGGTTACAATCCAATCCAAACTGAATTGAGAAGATCAAATCGAATCCAATCCGATAGTTAGTAAAATTCAAATAGGATTTATGAGAATAATACCAAAATCTGAAAATACGTGTCAATCAAACTAAAACCGACGAAGTCTCAAACGTCCAGACCTATGATGATTTAAGATACCAACATTTGTATTCATCATTTTATAATCGATAAATACTGTAGTATTGCAAAATGTTAAAAACCATTTAATGAATAAATATTATTATAAAATTTTCACCCCGCGCATGCGCGCGGGTTATCATCTAGTAAATGTATTATTTGAAGAGGAAAAGGTAAAAGAGTTATTCCTTAATAGAAAAAAGAAAATTGCTTAAATTGTTTCAGAAGAATATGAGGAACAAGTTCTGGTAAGTAGGAGTGGACACGGATAGAATATCCAGATTTTTTCGAATTTTTCGTGATTCGATCTGTTTTGTCTGAAAAATTAATTATCCGATTCGATTGGATATGTAGCCATCCGGATATTTAGTGTATCCAAATCTTAAAAAATTAGATTTTTAACTGAATATCGGATTCGGTCTATAGAAATAAACTATAAATAAAATCTAAAATTAATATTATATTACAAACATATAAATTATTTAATTTGACATTATTACTATGTAATTCATAGATAATTAATGTATTATTAATTGTTATTACATACTAATATACTTTTGGAGTTCGATTAAATAGAAATTCTTCAGGATAGATGTAATTTTTTTTTTGTCAAAAATATAGATCTTAAAAATAAAAATGATCAAAATTGACGTAATTTTTTTAACAAAAATAAGTAAATGTACACTTATACCCTTTGGGTTAACTAGTCATATACCGTTTTGTTTAGAATTGAGGAGTGAAATTTTAGAGATAAGATTTTAAATTTAAATAAAAAAAGAAAAACTTAAAATTTTCAAAATAAAAATTGATATTTTGATCCTTTTAGTTTTTAAGGTCTATTTTTGTGATAAAAACTTAAAAAAATCTATTTGAGAGAATTGTTAGACAATTTTCCTAATAATGTTAACTTTAAATTTTTTATTACAACATTATAAATGATGGACTTATGTATTTTAGGAATTCTGCTAGCTTTTCTAATCATTTGAGAAAACAAAACTCATAGTAATTGTTTATACATATTATATTATGTCAGATAATTTTTTCACCGAGCAAATTGTTTTCTGAAATTGTTTCTGTTTGTGAAATTTCCTTCCTGGAAAAGTCTACATATGTAAATTTATAGGTATTTATATCTTTGGGATTTATCTGAGTTGGAAAATATATATATAAAGGAAATTATAGTTAAAATTATTAGGAAAAAGAAAATCAACACAAAATTTATAATTGCGTTTAGATATATAATTATATCATGGATTAGTATATTATGAGAAAACTAGTTTTTCAAATAGTATTATAGAGATGATAATATTTATAAAACATAAACAAATTCTGTAATCTTGGAGATATATGAAAGATATGGAGGCAGGAGTGTCTTAAGTATATGTCTTTGGCCTCTAAAATGTTACTCCCCTTTTTCAAATAGATTTATGTTCTAGAAAAAAAAATGATTTCAAAAGATATATTTTTTACATTTCAATGAATTTATTAATTAGTAAATTGTAAACTTTAAAAAAAATTATTGTATTTTTTAAAATTATATTGATGAAAAATTATATGGAAAATTTAATTACAAAATAGTGTATTGGTAATTTAAACTTAATAATTTTTTTTAATAAGTGCGAAAATATTTAAATATGAAATATTTTGAAACAGAGAGAGTATTAATTAAAATGTTTAAGAAATGACTATAGAAAACGACACAAGTGTTCTTTTATTAGATAAAACGTTTAAACGGTACTGAAAACTCCCTTATTACATGACGTTGTAGAACTAAACGATTTATTAAAGATAAAGAAAAACGTGGGAGACAATAAAAACATTGAAGAGCATGATCCAACTTGATCAGAGAAGTGTTGATCATTTAACATCACTGGGTGATTGGCACGACATGGACCCCAAGCTGGTGAAGCTCGTTACTACTTTTTCCATGGAACCCTACAATCTTGTAACCATCCTTCCCAAGAACGAAGCTGGACGCCGTTTCCATTCCATACGGTGGAGAGGTTTGTTTGTTGGTTTTGAACTTAAGCATGGTTATAACTCCGTTTTCACTTCCAAGTATTTTGTCAAAACAACCTTCCACTGATGTGATGTATTCACTCGGATAGTCTAGCTTGAACTGTGAACATGAAGAAATATTAAACAATGTTATCACAAAGACCATTATTATTAGGCAACTGTCTTCTCAAGGTCTAGGACTAACATATGGTAATACAAAAATATTCAGTAGGATAATAATCACCTTCTCGTATGTAAGCAGTGACGGTATTCCATGCTCATCCCCTTCAGACACATGAGAGTCCTTTGCGTAAACAAATTTGACGGCTACGACACCGTTTCCGCCTTGTCCTACATATACCTCCCTCACACCGTTGAAAAAACCATCGTCCCATGGATCTCCTCCTGCGCCACCTTTTGCTTGTAGTTTTTCAGTGACAGGTCCTGGAGGAGAAAAATATGCTCCAATGGCATCTAAAGCACCATAAGCTCGTCCATGGAACCCGATAAGAGGACCACCATTGTTTTGAAGCACAAATTTGAGAGCAGCAATGTTTCCAAAAGTGGGAGAAGTTCTGTTTTTTGATGTTTTGATAACCAGTGATCTGACACGGTTTTGAGTAGGGTCGCTTACATAGTCGCAGGTACCCTCCACAGCCATGATGTATTCATTTGGAAAATAGACCACAAACTGAGAAATAAAACATCGTTACACTCTATAAATTAATTATCAAAAATTAATAAATACGATAAGTTAATAAATTATTCTTTCGACTAATAGTTCTATAAATTATTGGAGTTCCGATATTATTGATTAATAGGATTTTTTTACTGTATATATAAAGAGAGGATATGCTAAAAAAGAAAAGGAGAGATAGAATATATGGATTCGTACCTCCTCGTGTTTTCCCACATCTTCCCCATGCGCGAGGCTTTCCACTGAACCACCTTTCTCATAATCAATCCTGATTTGCCTTATCTCATTCTCATTTAATGAAACAGAAACCTTTCTCACACCTTTGTAATTAGGACCGTCATCCCAAGGGCTGCCTCCAGAGCCACCTTGATAGTCCAGTTTAGTTGGAGGAGCCATTGCGAAATAAGCTCCAAGGGAATTTAGGTTAGTCCCAGCATATCCATGGAAGCCAATTATTTTTTTGCCTTTGACTTCAAGTGAAAACATAATACCGTTGTCATCGCCCATCAGCTCAGAAGTCTTCTTGTTGGTTTTGAATTTAAGCGCTTGAATCACACCAGTGGTGACATCATAGTAACCCTCAACGGATACAAGATATTCATTGTTTGGATCAATCTCAATCTGCAGCAATTAAAAATGGTTGTGGTGATAACAGATGATTAATAATGTCAAAAAATAATTACTGTATAATGAACAAGTATAGTTATATCTTTCAGAAAGATTAATTATTTTTATTTGAAAGAAATGTATACCGATTGCGTGAATCCTCTACCCGAGACACCATTCATTGATCCAGTTTGGGATTTACCACCCTTAACGTAATCAAATTGGACATACTGAATGCCTCCAGAACCACCTCGTACATTAATCTTTGTTACATTGTCATGATCAGCTAAATCATCCCAGTGATTGCCTCCTTTTCCGCCTTTTGCTTCCAACTTCTGGGCCATAGCGAACTGATTTGATTCTCTATGTATGGAACGATTCTAAATAGTGTTAACTTTCAGTCATTCAATGAGATCAATACATTTATGGTATATAAAATGTATTTTTTTTGTTGGAGAAGGACATACAAATTTAAACAATTTGCTTATAACGTTTGCACGGCGATTTGATTTGATATAATATAAAGATCAGATCATATAAGTAAAACTTTAACCCGCGTAAATGTAAAGCAAATGTGACAGGTATCTGAATTGTTCCTTTAGAGGTGAGCACAAATCCGACTTCTAGTAACTTTTTAAACAGCCGGATTCGGTTATATATAAGTTGGTATTTGAATCTGATGTAAAATATTCTTTTATCAGTATGTAATTAGATCTGATCCAGATCCTGATATGTCCAAAATAGTTAAAACACAATAGGTAGATCAATTGTTGAAAATAAAATAAAACTAAAAATAAGATTATATAAACAAGAATATCAGTTTGTCCAATAATAATAATAATAATAATAATAAATAAATAAATAAACAAGAATATAAGCTTTTGTAAATTTTGTAAGAAAAATACTACAACATCTAACAACAAACTAATGTTTTGTAATAAAGGTATTTCTCTCTTAATCATCATTTAATACCCTTTTTGGATCGGCTCGCTCTCAAATCCTAGACATTTTGCCAAATCATATGTCTACCTAGAACGAGTGAGAGAGAAAGATACCTCTTGATATGCTCGTTGCTGGAGGAAAGACTAGATGATGAATAGTTGGTATTAGGGGTGGGCGTTCGGGTACCCGTTCGGATTCGGTTCGGATCTATTCGGGTTTCGGGTATTCGGGTTTACAAATTTTAGCCCCATTCGGATATTTCTAAATTTCGGTTCAGGTTCGGTTCGGATCTTTGCGGGTTCGGTTCGAGTTCGGATAACCCATTTAAATTCTTTTTTTAAATTTTAAAATTGATTATATACTTTAAATTTCTAAAAAATTATAAACAAATTAATATATTACAAATAATTGAATAACATAAGTCAAAATATCTAAAATTAACATATAAATTAGTTTGATTTGAATATTTGGATTGTGAATCAATAATTTTTTAAGTATTTTTGATGTTTTGAGTGTATTTTAGCAATTTTAGACATGTATGTTTGACTATTTACATAGATTTACAACTATTTTGAATAACTTCAAAGTATTTTATATATATACTGAATGTTTTTTATATATATTAAATCTAAAATAATTAATATATATAGGTATATAAATCTCTTTCGGATATATTCGGGTACCCGAAATACTTCGGTTCGGGTCGGATTTGGTTTCGGTTCTTTAAATACCAAAATTTTGAACCCATTCGGATATTGAATCAATTTCGGTTCGGATTCGATACTACTTTTTCGGATCGGGTTCGGTTCGGTTTTTCGGATCCGGGTTTTTTGCCCAACCCTAGTTGGTACATACGAAGCTGCTATTTATACACATTATTATTTTTGCAAATATGTTTTTTTTTTGTTACGAAGCAATATTTTAATTTGCATCTCGTGTATAGCGTGGTAATCTTTATATAATTTATATAATGAATGAATCTCAGTCTTTTTAAAATTTATAAAACCATCGTGATTGAGCATGGAGAGATAATATACGCATCTCAACCCATCTTGACTGACGCATGACTATATAATTATTTATTGATATAACCACATCTTATCCACTAGTTAGTATCGGAATGTATAAGTTATGCAAAGTGATGTCCAGTGCAAGATATAGATCCAGTGAAAAATTGATTAATCATGTGTTTTTGAATGTTTTCCAACAGTCCAAGTTTAAATTATCTCTAAAATATATCATCGAATCTAGATTTTTTTTTTCAAAGGGTGTTCACAAACATAGATTATCTATATAGGAAGATATTCGTATATATATACGATCATCAATTTTGTACAGATCTTATGGTACATTTAAATGGAACAATAAAATTTTTAATAATATTTATTTTGATCCGAAAAATATTCTGAAATTGGTAGAAATTGAATTTTTATTTTGAATATAGACTCAGATCCTAGTCATAAATAGAACCATCCAATTGAGAGAGACAATAGAGTTTTGGTTATCTTCAATTCTAAGTTGCTGATGTTTTACAGATGAATCATATAAAATATAAGAGACACTTTCAAATATGACTGGTATTATACGCTACAAAGTTTTAAATTTGTATCTTATAATCCGCAAAAAAAAATTGAATTGTATGGATTTCGAACACCAAAACTTGAATATAAACATCTTTAGATCTTAAACACTACACTATGGTACTTTCACAAAGATCTTATTCTATTTTGAAAGGTTTTTATCACAAGGCACACCATCTTCAAGGAAAGAGTTCTGTTATGACTGTCATTGTCGGTTTAAAATGTCACATTTTTTATTTATGGGATTTTGGTTTAATTTTAGACAATTTATCTTTTTTTTTTTTATCAAATCCACTGTACATATCTTTTTTTTTCTTTTTTATTTGTAACATACTGTACATATCTTGAATAAGGAAAGTATACCCTTTAGTCTGACATCCAAATTTATAGACTGACGCGATTCACAAAAAAAAGAAAAAAAAAAGACTTGACACAAATCTAACACGTAGTGATAATATACATTAAAAAATTAAGTAAGGTTGGAGATGTCACAATGTGGCGCTGAAAAAACTAGAGTAGATGTTTTAATAATAACTAGACCATGACGGTGTTTTATTTTCTTTTAATTTTTAGGTTTATACTATATGATGTAAAATAAAAAATGAAGTATCAATTAAATGATTATAAATTACTTATGGGTTTAATTTTGATAGAAGAATACTGAAAAGTTTATTGTTTGATCCACGCAAGTGTTTGTTTTTATATATTTTATAAGTGATAATATATATATTTCTAAATTTACCCGTTTAAATAATTGTTTAAAATGACATTTTAAACACACAATTTTATAGTTTATATTGAGTAATTTTATTTTATCTTATAAACTATCATTGTGTCATACTTATTTTAAAAATATGACCCGTATATCTGCACAAATGTTTTTATTTTATTCTTATGGATCAAAATTTTATGATAATGTATAACTAAATTGTTTTATTTACTATTTAAAATATATGGTCCTATATATTTCTACTTTTTAACTTTTATTATTCTGTATTTACCTTGAACTATTATTTATATAAAAATATACATAACATGATATGTTTATATTAATCTTTTTATTATATATTATATAAATATTTCTTTTTGTGACTTTTATTTTAGTTATTACTTATAAATAATAAATATATAATTATATATCTTTGAAAAAATATTGTTCATTAACTATTTAAAGATATGTAGATAATTAATAAGAAAAAAATCCTAAAAGGTAAGTTAATTAATATTGGAATTAATTATTATGTATATGGAATTAGTAAAACAGTTTCTATAATTTATTTATTTAATTAGGAAAGGTATATATGAAATTAATTATTGTTGCCATAATTTTTTTAGTTAAAATTTGATTTTAGAAATGCATTAATTAAAGTGAAAAGACAAAGAATCATACAAGGTAGGGTAATTATAACTTCAGTGGCATAACATTGTATATAATTAAATAATTTAGGGGTATTTTATATGGGTACTTATCTTTTAATAATATAGATGTAATTAATGATTTATCCAGTGTTAGAAAAAAAACTCTAATAAGGGCTGCCGTTTGCATTAAATTAATCAGGTTAAAATCCAGTAGTCGTTTGAAATTGAATAATCAGTAGAAAAGCTTCGTCACATCCCATTCACATCATTATTTTATGAAGGATTTAATGGTTAATGTGCACATGCCTGTGAGGATTTAATGGTTTTACTTTTAATACATTCATCTTAAAACCATAAATCGAGAAGAAAAAATCTTTCCGAGCCAGATGAGAAAGCACAACAAAAAAGTACAAAGATGTGCAAAAATATAGAGATGGAAAACTAAAACTTGTACCTAATGTCGCGTTGAAAAAGAACACATCGATCTTCAAACAACGATAAAAACAAGTAAAAGAAACTGGTTCGTGGACTTGAAGAAACTTCTTATTCAAAACTAAAAAATCAAGTTGTCATAACCTCAAAACTAGTACAGCCATAAGCCTCATGATAACTAGTGTTTTCATGTTCGACATAGACCTGTGGCCGGACCACCAAATCCGATGATCCAGTAAGTAATCCAATTTTAATTTTTAAAAATATCAATTAATTAAAATCCCAATAAAATCCATTAGAAATCTTTAAACCCACTAATCCGGCTATTGGTTGAATCATTTAATGAAGCAGTGAATTATTTTATTTAATTCTTCTTAGATTTTTAACTACTTTATTAAGTTAGGTTTTTAATTTTTAATTTTAAATTTTCTCACAAAATTATCATTATCCTTATTATTACATATACTCTATATCTTTTTCACCTTTTATTTTTTATTTTTTGCTAATTACGTTTATAGAAAATAACATTTATTTTAACCTTTTAGGTTCTAACTTTTATCATATTTTCTTCTTTTTGTGAAACCCATGCTTTTATTTTCTTTTCTTGATTTTGTATGTTTTTTAAATAAATATTTTTTATGTATTAAATTCATTGCTCTTATTTAGTTTTGTAAAATAATATATAAAATGACTAAAATATTTATTTTGATATTTAGATTTGACGAACATTTCATTATGCCACATAAAAAGAATATAGTGAACAATGAGAGATAACTAAAACTTATGAAATTTAAGTATCGTGATGTTTTATTATATGTCTCATTCCTATTTTTTTACAAAAGTTTTTAAATAATTTAAATTATTTTTATATATTTTATATAAGAAATGAAAAAAATAAAAAATAAAGAGACCAAATTTAAATAATTTTATTTTTCAATAAATGTGAATTTCTCTTATATTTTTAATAGCTATACATTTTTATGTATTAATATTAATTAATGTATTAATATGCAGTTCGTTCGCGGTTGACCCACTAAACCGATAACCTAGAAAATTTACGTTTCAATGTCCGGTCGAGTTGAAAAACATTACTCATAACAAAAATAAAATTATTTGGATATTCGTATAAGAGTTGGAAGAGACATTCTTGTTATGAACCAAAGTAAAGACCATTCTTATTTATTGAAACTAGAACTTATATGAGCTTAAACGTAAATCATAATCAACTTATCCATAATCATCACGTTACTCCAAACTCTTTAACTGTATTTTATTATTTAGATATTATTAATGGTTAGAAAAAAAATCATATCAAAAAAGATAAAATAACCATTAAAATCACGAACTTTCAAATTAAAGCAAAACAAAATCTTCAAGTCATGTTTGAGCAAAAAAAGTCATCAACTTTTAATTATTGACCGTTCTAACTCTTATATTTTTGACTTGGTCATTTAATAAACTCAAATAGTCATCTGTTAAACTCGATCAGAAAAATAGACGTTTGTTAATATCTTTAAACGATGTTTTTAAAACTGATTAAAGGTTATTCAAACAACATTTTTTTTGCTTTTGTAAACACTTAAAGCATCTTATTAGTGAAACCAGAACCTCAAATCGACTTCATCTTCCTCATCTCGATTCAGGAAGATGAAGTCGATTTTGGACTCTAGTTTCGCAAAAGAGATGGTTTAAGTGTTTAAAAAAGCAAAATAACATTGTCTGACTAATTTTTAAAACGACTTCGTTTATAGAGTTAACATACATCTATTTTTATAATCGCGTTTAAGAGTTGATTATTTGAGTTTCTTAAATGACCGAATCAATAAAATATGAGAGTTAAAACGACCAATATTTGAAAATTAGAGATTTTATTGGTTCAAACACGAGTTGAAGGTTTTTTTGGTTTTAATTTGAAAGTTAAGGGTTTTTGGATGTTTTCTCTATCAAAAAATTAATAAGAGCATGATTAACCCTTAGCTCTTAGTATAACGTTTTTAGGATTTTTTTTTTAATTTTTTGTCTTTAAGAAAAATTATAAATAAAAAAAATCAATTGCGGGTCATCACATATCGGTGGGACCTGCGAATAGTCTAAGAACCTTGCAAGAGTTGGTTCTTACACAAGGCACATTAGAATTGTCTCTTAAGATAGTGATGAGATCCACGAGTTTTAAAATTAATTTTTTTTAAGAACCATAACTAAGAGTCATGGTTAATCATGGTTTAGAGTTTAGACTGGGTTTGGTAAAGTACTTAGAACATGCTTAATGGACAGATTAAATAAAAAATAAAAAAATAAAACAAAGAGAGAGAATAAGAAAGTGAGTTAAAAGAGGAGAAATGTACTTTGACAAGAATGAAGAATTCTTTTTACATTTTTCATCAAATGACTGATTAGAATTTATTTTTTGTTGAAAATTTGTTTATTTAACTAATCTATCTCTGTAATATTATTTGAGAAGTCACTTTCTTAGGTGTCGCGCTCACGTTAACTCTCACGCTGGTTGATTACTATGATACCCCTAATGAATTAAAAATATATTTAAATATTATTATTCCTTTTTAAAATCTTCCAAATAACAATATAAAGCAAAAAGGAAATATTTATAAAATTTAAAAACGAAAAAACTATATATATAATATGGTTTCATAAAAAAGGAAAGTTTACAAAATAGTAATATTTAATTTAAATATATTTTTAAATAACATAAATTATACTTTTTAAGTAATTATACTTTATATCTATATCTTCTTATATGAAAAAATATATTTGTATATAATGTGTTTTCATAAAAAAAATTTCATACAAATAATCTTGATATTAGAAAAAGAAATATTATTTCTTTAAAAATAATTTAAACAATAAAATATATATTTTCAAAGTAATTAGTTTTTGTATATATCTATCTAATTTTGTTAGATGATTACATAAAATAATTAAGTAACATAAAATGTTTAATTGACAAAAAAATATAATTAGTATATTTATTTGGTTATAATATCTTACAGTTACAGCAAAAAATATAAGTTATATTTTACTTATATAATATAGTTTCTGAAAAAAATCACATTTTTACTGCATATTTTATGAGATATTAAAAACAAAACTAAAAATAAATTTAATAATAAACATCTTTTGATCAAATAACTACAATTCTTTTAAAATATCATAACACTATATAATTTAACGAGGTAGATATATTATATTTTAATAATTAAAAATATTTGTTTTCTTAATAACTCTTTTGATGTTTAATTTTCTGTTTTATGTTTGTGGAATTTAATATAATCATAATCAAAATACTTAAGCAAATCAGAATTTCTTATTTTTAAAATTATTTAAAATAAATTTCAGTTTACCATCCAATCAATCTAAGGCATAAATTATTTAAAATTTATAAAATATTTAATTATTGTAAATATTGATATGTGTTCATAAGTTTCCAAAATTTTACTATTACTTATGTATGTAATTTATAATCAGACACTCTAATTTTTATTTTTTTCGTTCCAAGCACAAAAAATCTTAAAATACATAATCTTACTAAGATATACTTATATTTCTAAGATAACAACCAACGTAAATGTAAATAAAACAATTAATCAGAAAATTAAGATATTTAGAATAAAAATATTATAGTTGAATTCAGAGAAATAGATAGAATATATATATATATATCTAAATGATAAAACTAACTAAATATAATATATCTAAAATTGTATATAACTAAAATAATACAATATTATTAATATAAATTCTACATAAAAACTATAAATTAATATAAGTCAAAGTAAATATCAATCAACTATTATAATATATTTATTTTATAAATATTTATATCCGTGCATGAGCACGGGAAAATCACCTAGTGTTATTATTAAATGATAAGTTAGCTCAGCCCATAAGATAGGCTAAGGAACCAATTGCTTAGGGTCCAAACATTTTTGAAGTTTTTTATCTTAAGAAAAATGGTCTAAAATATCTTGAATTTTTTTTACCTAAAGAAAAATGGCCCAAAATTTTTAATTTATATGGGGCCTTTAAAAGATTTTGCCCGACCCTGATAAGGTATTATGGGAAGAGATTTACTCACTGCACATCCTCTTAGAAGGTACTCTAATAAGTCTTGGGGGATCGTATTTGATGCGCCTTATCTTATGTTCATATATAACCAGCAACAGCCTACTCAGAGCCCATATGATATTTGTACATTTTTCAGCTACTGAAGTCCAATACCAAAACTATTAAGTGAGTAGCAACAACAAACAAACTTTATCAAAAAAAAAAAAAAACAAAACAAAAAAAACAAACAAACAAACAAACTTTTTTTTTATCGGATATTACAATATTGGGTTTTCAATAATACAATAGATACTCACACTCTCTTTTTCTTAACCGAATTTTCAAACCATAACATATTTCATAAAGTCCATATCTTATCTATAATATGGGAGCAAGCCAAGACCATGATTATTCATAGAAAGTTATCAGGATTCACCAAGAATCGTGAGTTGTGTCCGCACGAACGACGGTGGAAGATGATCTAAGCTTGAGCTTCATCTTCGCCTTGTTTATGTACTCAGAGAAACGATCTGATGATCTCCCACTGCTACTCTCTCTCGATACACGGTGATGATGATGATCACGTGTCTCTGTTTCACCTGCATTCGACACATGATCATCGTCCCCCGTCGTTGCCCTTATCTTCAGCTTAGCTTTCATTATATAGTCAGTGAACGTCTCGTCAGGTTTCAGCGTCGTCTCCACTCGAGTGATCAGCGTCTTCTTCTTCGGCTGCTCCATCTTTGTAATGGGTTTGGCTGTCGTCTCAGAGAACTTGACGCGGACAGCTGCCTCTTCTTGGTGCTGGTGGTTCGGTGCAGAGATGCGGCGAACGGTTCGGACAGGACTCGTCACTGCTCTGAAAATCTTCTCACACATTCTGTTTCCTTTCTTCTTCTCCTGGTTCTTGCTGCTACTCATTGAGTTCTTTGCCATATTTAATTTTGCAGAGAGCTTAGGAAGTTAGTTAATTAGAGAGTGACTTGTGCAGAGAAGACGGTGACATTAACCAGGTTCTTATAGTGCAAAAAAAAAATCGGTGAATTTTTATTATATTTGTTAATTGATAACGTGTTTTAGGGGATAGAAGAAATCAAAGAAGAAATTTCTTGGGGTTGAAAAGAGGAAAGCTGGAAACTTTAGCAAGTTTTTCAAAAAAATGCTTGAAAGGGATCGGATTCTGATTCCACTCTGTTTCTTTCTTTCAGCTTCCTTGTTTTTGTATAGTTTTTTTTCCTTTAATGTATAGAAACGAGGATCAGCAACTCGGCAAGAGATACTAGTAACACATTAATCTTCGCGCTAAAGTCTTAAACTTAAGATTAAATACAGTCGATTCTCAACATTAATTAGGTCGCTTTCCATCAGCTTTAATTTGCTAACTTATTTATCCACGAATATGCTTTCCATCAGCATGAAATGTTGTTTTTTTAAAACAATCCACTTCATTTCCACTAATGTTTATCAAAGCATAATTAAACTCTATATTAATCACATGCTTTCAATATGAAATGTATATTAATCAATCTTGGATTTGTAGATGCCCTGGTTCTTGCCGTATAAAATTACAGGTCTTTTAAAAAAAATATATATAGGACAAAAACCAGAAAATGTTTAAATATCAAATAAAAATTGACAAACATAAAAATTGACAAAACCCAGAAAATGTTTAAATATCAAATAAAAATTAGCTGCTTCGTATGATATTGTTGGGAAATGTTAAAATTAGATGGTCGATACGAGTTTCTAGCAAATATAGATTGACTTATAGTGTTTTGTAGTTAGACATTTTTTATTTTTGTTGTTCATTAGGATATATATTTGTTTCTATTAAACAGTAAATTAGTCATTTATTTTAAGGGAAATTGCATTACGCATTAAGCTACTATATCTTCAAAAATATCTTAGTAGAAAAGAGATGTTTCTGTTTTTAGATTTCCAACGTTTGTATTCATTTATTTTATTGCTGATTTTTGAATTATAAATTTGTTAGAATTTTCTAATTATAGTTTAATTTTAGGTCAATAGATATGTATTTCTATAATTTAACAGTCGTCTGGTTTTCATTGTTGGATATGCCGAAGAGAAAATAATAGGTTCTCGTGATATTTGAGTGTATAGTGAAGAAGACTAATATCATGTGCCAAAGAAGGATAAAAAGTTATATCATTTACATTTTCTTTTGTTTGCTCCAGTTATGGATGTTCTGTTAGTGGTTACTGGTAATAATCTTCTTACATGTGAATTTTGTAACTTTGATTGTAAGCGATTAGAGATGACTGATGAAGTGATAGGACATGAAAATAACTTTATTTATTTAGGCTAAGTTTGACTTATTGTCCATTTGAAGTTGGATGTTATATTTTATGTGAATGTAGTTTACGCCATAGTTATACTGTTGGTTTACTATATATGTTCTCATACCTTGATTTACATGTAATCATATTTTGTTGCAAATCATTTTTTATCTATTAACGTGTTTTTTGTCACATATGTTTACGTTTAGTAATTTTTGGTGTAATGTTATAGGAGATCCATTTAGGATGAAACAATTTCCTGTGAACGTTATGCATTTACCTTATTAAAGAAAAATACAAAAAAAAAATTATTTCTAAAACTTAGAATTTATTTACAAATCAATATCACAGAAATACTAAATAACCTAACTTTAAATAATTTTATAGTTTATAATTATTACGTCACTTTTAAAAATAATTATAATTAATAAAGAGTTAGAGAACAATAAAATAAAATCAACACTATATTTATTTCGTAGATTTCAACAATATCACAATAAACATAGTACTATAATATTAAAATTAAAAATATTGTGACTAAAATCGTGCCTTTTATTATTTATGTATATTTTTGTATAAATAATATTTCAATGTAAATTAAATATTATAAATGTAAAATAGTACAAAATATATAAAAATATTTTAAATAGTATTAAAATTAGATATATAAATGAAATGATATGAAATAAAAGATTCTAATAATTGGACCTAATGTAAAAATCAATTAAAATTTAAATAAAATAAAAGATATTTATAATTAAGCTTAAAAATTATTCAACAAATTATAGAATGACAAGTGTCAATTTTTGCCTCCTCCCCATAGAAAAAAGTCTACTTTATCAATGAAGATATTAAGAATACAATGAATGTTTACAATCGAATTTTATTTATTTTTACGATACATTTTTCAATAACTATGAACCAATAATATTTGGACAGCTCCAAATATTCTTATTTAATGTATCTTAAAAGTATATAAAATATTTTAAAATAATAGAAAATCTAATTTTTTTCTGACACTGGATAATTATGCATTACAAACTATGAGAAATTACATAGACGATATTACAGCCGTCAATTATACTTGCCTTATGCGGATTCACGCCTGACTGCATCTGATCCCTTCCTGACGGTACGCCTTGCGCTATGCTGAAGATCTCTTGTAAGTTTTTTCTCCAATCTGCATAATTTGCCATTTACCTTCCCCGGGAATTGAAACCCTCCTGGTGTAGAAACTACGTAGCCTGGGATTCGAACCCCAAACCTAATGTAAAAGTCTTTAAACCTTAACCACTATGCTATGGTGATTCCACAAGAAAATCTATCTTTGTTGAAAAAAAAAATCTAAAAAGTTACACAGAGAACATAGTTTTAGGAAGATGATTATGTTTTTAACTCGGAGTTATCTTCTTATCATAGTTGATGATTACAAAAAGGTTAGTAGATATAACATTTTACAAACTTGGTAACCAAAAATCAAAAGGAAACTCCTTTCTTTTTTTTCAATCAGAGACAAAAGAAACCTTAACTCGAATACATATTGAGAGAGCAATGATGGAAGGTGCATAATGGCATTTATTTTTAAACTATAAATTATACAACATTAAAAATATTTAAAATATTGAAACTATTTATAAATAATTATTATGTAAATTATTTTAATTTGAAAACTTTGAATGCCGATTATGTTTTCTATTTCATAATTTAAATAAGATATTATACAAAGAAACCATTTTATATTTTTATAATCTTTAATTATTTTTTGATCTGTCAATAATTTTATTTATACAAATTAATTATAACTAATTATTTATGATTAATTAATATTGTATATATGTATATCTAAATTAATAATATTTTTTACACATATGAAAGAAAAATAAATTATTTTATATTATTGTTTAAACGATATCTTTATGTACAAGTTTTTCAATGAGAATTTTATCTATAGGAAATATTATTTATTAGTTATCTATACTATTATTTGAGAAGTGACTTTTCGCAATGAATCTCTCACATTAAAAGTTGGAGTGGTTAATATCGTTTATACCTTTAATGAATAATAAAAAATTTCAATGTTCTAAAAATCGGTCTAGGCGCCGACTAGGCGTCCGCCTAGGCGGAAATCCCCTCTCACCGAAACGAGTTTCTTAAAATCCGATTTATACAATTCAAGTCAGTTTAAACCATGTTAAATCGGTTTAAATTGCTCTAAAACAGTTATAATTAGTTTAAATTAGTATAAATTTTTTAAATTAAGTTATAATTTAGGAAATAATAACAAATTTGTGTAATTTATTTTATTTTGTATATCGGATTTTGATAATTTATTAAAATAAAATTATAATTAAACCAAAAAACTTAAATCGCTTATATAAATGTAAAATATATATAAAATAAATCAATAATTCTTTAACGCCTAATTCCCGCCTAGGCCCCGAATAATCCGCCTAGGCGCTAGTCCTCTATAGAACGCCTAGTTTCCGCCTACCGATTTTTAGAACATTGAAAATTTTCAATATATAACGAACCATAAATAAAAAACGAATTTCAAAGATTTGAGAATTATCCTTATTTAAAAATATTTTATATTGTGTTTAAAAAGTCTATATAAACCTTGAAAAGTACTTATATTTGTTAATATACAATTACTTATGAATTTAAAACAAATTTAATTAATCTGATAGTTATCCTTATCTAATTTTTTTACATTGTGTTATAAAGTCATTATCAACCTTGAAAATAATTATATTTGTTAATATATAACTAATTATAAATTTAAAATGAATTTTATTGATGTGATAATTATATATAAAAATAATTTATACTGTGTTATCCAAAAAAATATTTTACATCTTATCTTAAAAATAAAAAATATATAAATCCCTATATATATTCTCTATGTAATTTTATGTATAAAAAAGTAATTTAAATGAATTTTACGTATTAAAAGATAATTTTGTTATATTAAAAATTCTTGTCATGTTTAAAAAAATACTGATATGAGTGTTTTCAAATTTAATTTATGTACTGAAAATTATTTATATTATATTAAAAACTCTATATTTAGAAAGAATTCGTTTAGTTAATTATTAAATATTTTGAATGTATATATATATTAACTTATGTTAATAGTACTTAAATTGATTGTATATTTATCTATAGATATTAATTAAATTAGTAATCCCGCACCTGAGGGCAGAACAGCTAGTTAACTAATAAAATGTAGCAATTTCTCACAAATAAATAAAAACAAAATTCGTTTGGATATGAATTACAGACAATCGAAAGAACTCAATTTTTTTAATATTGAGCTTGGGTTTCCTTCATCTTATCTCTTACGGATATGAGTTACAGACAATCAACTACTCAACAAGACGTAACCTTTCACTCCACTGTGTATATATAAGTCTTTAAGTGAGATCGGTCTCGAGAGAAGACTCAACATGTTAAGAGTTTTAGGGAGAAGGGCAGCTTCAGCCTCAGCAGAGCTTACTCAATGGCGGATCCGACCCGGAACCGATTCAAAGCCCGATCCTTTACGAATTCTCCGCGGACTACAAAAGGGTTTCTGCGTCAGCGTTCTCCCGGACGGTGTGGATAGAAATTCGGAAGCTTTTTCCAGTAACTCGGTCGCCATGGAAGGGATCTTATCAGACCTTCGCTCCCACATCAAAACGGTAACGTTTTGTTGTCTATTGTTTTGCAGATGATGATGATGGCTTTTTTACATGTGTTTGAGTTTTGTTAGGTTTTGGCTGGAGGTGGAGAGGAGGCAGTGAAGAGGAACAGAAGTAGAAACAAGCTTTTACCTAGAGAAAGAATCCATCGGCTTCTTGATCCTGGTTCTTCCTTCTTGGAGCTCTCACAGGTTAACTCAGTTTTTACTTTTTGCAATCTTGAGTGAGAATAGTATAGGAGGAGAGAGTGTTTAGAGACAAAGTCTCCACTTATCGGATGTTTGAAGGGATCTAACTAATATATAAGATAGATGGGCCCCTCCACTTATCAAATAGGTTGTAAGTCCATCTTACTTAACATAGTGTTCTTGAAATGTTCTCTTGTAGGTTATAGTTGTGAGTTAGATATTAGCATATGTGTTTGTATGCTCTTTCTGAGGTTTTGATTAAGCTTTCTTGAATATGCTTTGAAGCTTGCAGGACATGAACTATACGAGGAGCCTTTACCTTCAGGCGGCATAATCACTGGAATAGGACCAATCCATGGACATCTTTGCATGTTCATGGCGAACGACCCTACTGTTAAAGGAGGGACTTATTATCCCATAACCATCAAGAAACATCTCAGGGCACAAGAGATTGCTGCTCGTTGTAGACTCCCTTGCATATACCTCGTTGACAGTGGTGGTGCTTACCTTCCTAAACAGTCAGAGGTTTTCCCTGACAAGGAGAATTTCGGTAGGGTTTTCTACAACGAGTCTGTGATGTCATCAGAAGGGATTCCGCAGATCGCCATTGTTTTGGGGTCTTGCACTGCCGGTGGTGCTTATATCCCTGCCATGGCTGATGAGAGTGTGTTGGTGAAAGGGAATGGTACCATTTTCTTGGCAGGGCCTCCTCTTGTGAAGGTTTGTTAATTCAAAAACTAAACTCTCTTTCTTAGTTATGTGAAAGCTAAAATGGAAAGTCTTTTGAATAGGCTGCAACAGGAGAGGAAGTCTCAGCTGAGGACTTAGGAGGTGCTTCAGTTCACTGTAATGTGTCTGGTGTTTCGGATTATTTTGCTCAAGGTATTTTTCTGTTGTATGTATTGATTAATAACAATCATGTTTTAGAGTTTAGACATTAAGAAGGTGCTCTAGTGTTGCAGATGAGCTACATGGACTCGCTATTGGAAGAAACATTGTCAAGAATTTGCACATGGCTGCAAAACAAGGAAAGAAAGGAGCATTTGGAAGTGAAAATCTTGAATACAACGAACCACTTTATGACATAAACGAGCTTAGGTCCATTGCTCCTGTAGACCACAAGCAGCAATTTGATGTCAGGTCTATTATTGCTCGGATTGTTGATGGGAGTGAGTTTGATGAGTTCAAGAAACAATACGGCACTGTAAGATAAAACGTTCTTAGCTTCTGAGACTTACCTTTACTTCCTTCTCACTGGAATTTTTGTTTTTTGTGCAGACGCTTGTGACTGGTTTTGCAAGAATATATGGTCAGACGGTAGGAATCATTGGGAACAATGGCATACTGTTCAATGAATCTGCATTAAAAGGAGCACACTTCATTGAACTATGTTCTCAACGTAAAATTCCTCTTGTTTTCCTTCAGAACATCACAGGCTTTATGGTAATCAAATTTTTTTTTTTTGTAGTCCTCTTACATGTTAAGTGCTATATGTATATCTAATCTTTACTTTCTCTCCTTTTTGCTTGTTTTACAGGTTGGTTCAAGATCTGAGGCCAATGGGATTGCAAAATCTGGAGCTAAAATGGTGATGGCAGTATCTTGTGCTAAGGTATGTCTGCAGAGATTACTTTTTTTTTTTTCATTATTACATGCTGGAACTTAAGCTTGGGTCTTAATCTAGGTACCAAAGATAACAATTATAACGGGTGCAAGCTTTGGTGCTGGAAACTATGCCATGTGTGGGCGTTCATATAGTCCAGATTTTCTGTTCATGTGGCCAAACGCCAAAATTGGCGTCATGGGAGGCGCTCAGGTAACCAAAAATGTTTAAACTGAAACCAAACTGAAGTGAAATGTGTTTATACTTCATAATCTGATCATCTTTGCAGGCTGCGGGTGTTTTAAGTCAGATAGAAAGGGCTACCAAGAAGAGACAAGGAATAAAGGTACTGAACAAACACATACTTGAACTCTGTTTTCTTCTCAACATGGATGTAGATGAATATGGGTGTTTGTGTGATATGCAGTGGTCAGAGGAAGAGGAAGAAGAGTTCAAGAAGAAAACTGTGGATGCTTATGAGAGAGAGGCAAGTCCTTACTTCTCCACAGCGAGGCTTTGGGATGATGGAGTGATTGATCCATCTGATACTAGAAAGGTGTTGGGACTTTCTCTCTCCGCTGCTTCTAATCGTCCTTTAGAAGATACTCGATTTGGTGTCTTCAGAATGTAAAAACAACTTCCGCTTTCAAATAATAAGCTTAAATAAGTGAACAAAACACTTCCATATTCTACAGAAACTTAGCTTACCAGTGGGGACACATGGTATCGTAAACTTGGTAGTAGATAACTACAGAAGCTATTGTTCTACAAGAACGCAACAGCGCCCGTGGCCCAATGGATAAGGCGTCTGACTTCTAATCAGACGATTGTGGGTTCGAGTCCCACCGGGCGTGCACTCATGATGATTTTTTTTCTTTTTTTTTTGTGGCAAAAAGAATTCGTGGAGTAGTTAGCTGGGCTATACAATATAGTACAATTACCACAGCTACTTTTAACGAAATACCCAAAAGTACATGATTGTTTCTTAAGATTAGAGCAATGAGATTCAAATCATGGACATATAACATTGTTGTATTCACATGATCTTTAAACGGTAGATGAGATTTCAGTAGAGACAAATAATCTACAAAAAATGACTTCCTTATAATCCTATGGAAATCGTCATAATCCTATAAATTTCATAGGATTGAGTAAAACTACAGTTATTATTTTTCTTATCTCCATGAATTTCTATGTGTTACATGAATGATCCCACAAATGATGGATCATTTTCACACTCCTTTATACTTATTTTTCAACTCTCAAAATACCAATACCGATAACACATAACCTAGCTTAGCCATCTCTTTATCACTTTTTTTTTCTTCTTTTTATTTAACGATTGATAACAAACAATGGGTTGCAAGGGGAAAAGAGATCAAAGATGAGAATGAGGATGAGTTGACATAGGTTGCAATACTTGATCAGCACTATTACAAAAAACCACTTAGCTCAAAACGTTATCCATCAAAATTTTGTTAATCACTTGTAAAAGTAACAATGTAATATGTCTACTTCCGGATTTCTTGAACTGCCACCAACAACAGTAATGCATCAATTCCAAAAGGACTTGTGTTAGGTGGACTGTGGACATCTAACTACTTGACTAAAGGTATTTATCCCAATTAATTTTCACTTATTTGAAAAAAGTAGGGGAAAATGATAATTAGTAATTTATTTAAAACAACGTCTCACTCAGATACAAAGTGTTTACCTAGCAATTTGAATGTCTCGTTAATGTAATGTTGGAGATTTTTTTTCAACTGCTACTGCTATTTCAATAAAACCCTTTTGGCGTAAGATAATTAAGAAGAATGATTATTATGAAAGTCCTCCTCAACCAAAGTGCGTTCACCTACCACACATACGAAGTAGAGTTGTTGGATCCACCTTTTTATTCCCCTTTAGGTTGGTCTTCTTCTTAACTTTCTCTACTCACCAAGTCTCCCTTTCTTCTTCTTTATAATCAAATTATATATACAGTATACAGAAAATATATCCAATTAGTTTTAAATTATTTAACAATCATCTCACCAGTATCCAGTGCAAATATCTCTCATTACATCACACCCTCGGAACATTGGATAGCCATCATCCAATTACATAATGAAATCCAGACATAATAAAATTGAAAAAAATATCCAGACATAATAAAGACGTAAAATATTACCAGTATTTGGCAGCAAACATTTAGTCGACTCATAAATGCAAAAAAAAAACGTATTCACTTGTCACATACCACGCCACACAAACTACTGCATTAATAATCAGAAACTTTAAATTTTTATTGCCCGAGGCGTTATCACCCCAAGTGCGTCTGAAGCCCCACAGTGGATGGGACCCAATAAAGACAGCGACCAACCAATTGCGTGTTAGGAGAGATTCACCAACCCCAGACCGGGTTTTTATCACGAAAACCGGACATAACTAACCCGGTTCGAACCGGTCTCATTTTCTCCTTCTTTGTTATATATACACCTCTCGTGCCATTTGTGTGAATCACCAAAAACACAATCGTCAATCTCAGCAAAAAGAAAACAAATACAGAGAGAGAAATGGCGACGACAACAACAGACACAACGAAGACGTCTACTACTAATGTAGAAGACAAGCAATCTCAGAATCTCCGACATCAAGAAGTCGGTCACAAGAGTCTCTTACAGAGCGACGATCTCTACCAGGTCCGTTTCATTTCAAGATTGTGTGTTTGGTTCAGTTCAGTAATCTAATATAACCTGATCTTATTTAAAACATACAGTATATTCTGGAGACAAGTGTGTATCCAAGAGAACCAGAATCAATGAAAGAACTCAGAGAAGTGACAGCAAAACACCCTTGGAACATAATGACAACATCAGCAGATGAAGGACAGTTTCTCAACATGCTCATCAAGCTCGTTAACGCCAAGAACACAATGGAGATCGGTGTTTACACCGGATACTCTCTCCTCGCCACCGCTCTTGCTCTCCCTGAAGACGGCAAAGTAAATTATCTTTCTTCCTCTGTTTTTATTACAAAAATCTAACTTATTTTGTCGGAATTGGAACTAAACACTTTGTTCTGTTCTATCCCTCAGATTCTGGCTATGGACGTTAACAGAGAGAATTACGAATTGGGTTTGCCGATCATCGAGAAAGCCGGCGTGGCTCACAAGATCGATTTCAGGGAAGGCCCTGCTCTTCCCGTTCTTGATCAACTCGTTGCTGATGTAAGCATTCTTATCTCAATATTCTTATTTGGTATAAAAACATTTGGAATCGAACCAATCCACGAACATGATCTAAAACTACTTTACTCGAAAGACCTAACAGATAAAAACCGACCCAGACCTGATCTGAAAAGCATAATGCCCAGACCTATATGTCCTAATACTACTTATTTAAGTTGATTTTTAATAATTTTGATGAGATTTAATTTTGTATAAACAGAGATGTTTCCTTTTTCATATAAGGAAAAAAATAAGAGGGAGTAATTAATGATTGTGTGTGGTTGGGTGCAGGAGAAGAACCATGGAACATATGACTTTATCTTCGTTGATGCTGACAAGGACAACTATATCAACTACCACAAGCGTTTGATTGATCTTGTGAAAGTTGGAGGAGTGATTGGTTACGACAATACTCTGTGGAACGGTTCAGTCGTGGCTCCTCCTGACGCACCAATGAGGAAGTACGTTCGTTACTATAGAGACTTTGTTCTTGAGCTTAACAAGGCTTTGGCTGCTGACCCTAGGATTGAGATCTGCATGCTTCCAGTTGGTGATGGAATCACTATCTGCCGTCGGATCAGTTAATTGATGCATCCCTACTCTGAGTTTGTATGCAGTGGATCTACTCTCCTCTCTCTACTACCTACTTTTCAAATGCATTTTCACCAACTACCAAATTGGACCACCCCCGTGTATTTTGTTAAGTAATATCTCCATTTCCCTTTGTTTTTTTTTTTTGGCTTTTCTTCTGAACAAAGAAATAATGTACCCTACCTTTCTTGTTTTGTTTGTTATTTTGCTATATGATACAACATCTAAAAGAAGATATCACTCATTTAAGTTATCTCAATAGGTTTACTGATATGCTTAAAGCAAAAAGGAAGAACTGGTGCATACTAATAGACATAGTGGTTAGGATTATTAGCTTAACTCCATTTTTTTTTTGGATCAAATTAGCTTAACTCCATAGTCATTACATTTACAAGAGGAACCTGTTGAGAACAAGACGTGGAGGTCTTTACCACCTATCCACATCGATGTGAATGACTTTTCCCCTAAAATTGTGTTATTCTGAATCAAACCGATCATCATACACTTAAGTTGTTGAAAAGTCTTTGTTAAACTAGTCAATTAGCTATATAAACTGAGAGAAATAAAAGAACAAAGTAGGATGGTTTAGGTCATCAGTTTTTGAATTACTGAACACGGTTAGGTAGTTTCAGACTTTCAGCTAAATAACTAAACCAAAGATAAGTGGTATACCTTTTGCTTTGTAGGGCTTTCATTCGTCAAAAGACGGCAGAAAAAATAGTATAAGAACAAAATCGTAAAAAGAGATGCTTTGCATTTGCTATAGAATTTTCACTTATTTACAGGGCGGTGCCTGACTTTACTAAGATCAGAAGCAGTAAAAAAATTTTGGCCTTCAAAATAGCACTGAGTGGGATTTGAACCAGTGACCATGAATAATGTAATAATCTATTAAACCACTAAACCAATAAAGATTCTTGTCAAATTAACCCCTAAATAAATTATAAATATATTGGTCCTAATTACATGCTTGACCAACTTATGGTCAGGCACGACCCTGCATATCTAACCCGTAGTTAAACATAATTATAGGATGTTAGTCACAAGAAGAATGAAAACTTTGTTTTCACAAACGCTAACTTGATCATTTAATGAAAGAACAGTATATAACCTATAGCTTGAAGAATTTTGAGTCAATGATTAAGATGCATAGAAGGTTTAGTGGCAGTAGTATGATAAATACATGCCTGCACCAATAACAACTCCACTGGTAAGTCAATCCCAATGTGCATATATATATATATATATATATATATATATATATATATATATATATATATATTTGATGAAATGTTAAATTTATTGATCACCATGGTAAAAGAATGATTATTTACAAATAAATTCTAGGAACAAAACTTTTGTTTTATAAACTCTTAACCTTGTTCAGTGTGAGCACTAATTAAACCAACCTGCATCAAACCCATTAACCCTTCTTCTCTTGGTATCAAGTAGATATATTCCTTTGCCTAATGGTCTTCTCTATCACTTTTGCAAGCTGGTTATATTACACATAAACTTAACTAATTGCTGTCTCCACCAAGATTAATGTTAAAAACTTCGTTCATTTAACAGCACAAAGAGAAAGTTCAAGCGATTGACACTTTCTTTATCACTTTTTTAATGACTAAGAGGTTGCACATTCTCTAAAATTAACCAATAACCAAACCGAAATATAAATTGGTTAATTTTGGTATTTCTTTTGAAAATTTTAGTTAACCGAGAAAATTCGGTTCAGTTTCAGAAAACCAAAATAACAGGCCTATTGAAGGATTACTTAGGCATTTACGAGAGTTGGGAGGACAAGAATATGAAGATGAGAGGAATGGTGCAAGAAGACCTGGTGGACAGGGTAATAGGAATCTTGCGGGAGAAGGGAACGGTGAAGATGTTGCGGTTGGTCATGTTGCCAGAAGTATTCATGTGAATGTTCTGGTGAGGTTGGATATACAAGCAGCCCGTCTCGAGGCTCAGGTTGACGAGTTGGTTGGAATGCAGGGTCCGGTGTTTCACTTGGTCAAGAATGCCTTTACTGTAAGTTGAATGTTTTTTTCTTTTTGTTGATTTATTCTTTTAGTTCTCTCTTTTTCTAGTCTTTCTCTTTTGGCATCTAATAACACATTCATGATGTGCATAATTTTTGTAGGTTCTAGCAATGATATTCCTTGGTGTTGTGATCTTTGTGCCCTTCACATTAGAACGGGTTATATTGTATCATGCCGTCATGCGTCGTGGATTGTTGCTGCTGCTGGAAGCCCTGTTGTGACAGCATCAATGCATTTTATAGATACATCATTGGAAAGTAGAACTCTGAAGAGTGCATTGACTTCTGTCTCAAATTTTACTAACGAGGGCCAAGAAA